TCCTGTAGGGGTGGGGTTAGTGTTTTGCCTTTTTATTGCGCGCAAACAGCTACATTTGAATCACGTGGTGCCAGAACGACCGAAGAAACCTATACATCGAGCTCGAGAAACATAAGCTCGATCAGATAGTTGCAAGAAACAAAAGAATGTTTCTGGAGAAACGTATAGCTTTCTCGAAGCAAAGCCACGGCGTCTCAGAAGAAAAACGAGCAAGGACAAATAATATAATATCCGTGATAAGTCTGATAAGAATCTACCCACGATACTTCCAAACAGTTCTAATCACAGCCGGCCCGGTGTCACAATATAGAATGCAAGTAAGCAAAATTATCACGGTAAATTTCATATTTTGTCCCTCGAAAGCAAACACTTGGAGACTTCAAAACATATCTTGCAGTGTAAATGACCCTAAAAAAGGCATCAACACATGGCAAATTACAGGGGTGTCAAACTCGACGAAGCGACATGCAGATGAAAACCTATGACCTCTAGAGATTTTGCTATAGCATGGTCTTACGGTTCAACTCTACCTAAAATTCCTCCTTATAACACAACATGAAGTACCCTTCATAAACACAAGTGAAGTAACAAAAGGTCGACTGACCGAACAGAGAACGGCAAATGTACAAATGTCACGAACCGTAGGAATCGTGTAGGCTTGTCAACCCTATTTAACACTGATGTCACTGATTAGCCATCAAGTGCCTAGAAATCTAGAAAAATGCCGTCAAAGAAGCACACAATAACGAGGTCGAGCTTCAAACAAATAAGGATCGAAAAGTAGATTACGCCATTGGCTAGTTCTACCTTGACCAATAGGAGTCGTGTTTGGCCTGTCAACCATTTAAATCATCAAACCACTGAAAATTTATTGAAAATCCCGCCAAAAAATCCTAACTCGAAAATCCAACTGGAAAATCTTAACTCAAAAATCCAACTCGAAAATCCAACTCGAAATCCAACTCGAAATCCTAACTCGTAAATAGGCAACCTCGTGGAACCCATTTACTCTCTCCTCTCCACTCCTCTCCTTTCATCCGCTATGAAGAGGACGTGAATGATACGGCTAGTTGAAATCTGCGTATCGAACATCGTCCATTTTGTCGGGTACTTTAGGCCATTTTGACAATTATACGTTTGAAAACCAATGCATCTTTGTTTTCTCGAAAACAGCGGAGCTCTGCAAAGTGGAGATGAGAATACTAAACTTAATGGATGTGAAAGAAACTTTCGAAAACGCTGATCATATTATTACATGATCTCGGTAGCTGCGATTTAACTTGGAGTACTAGAGAGCACTACTAGCAATACGCAGTTCCGAGCTCCCAGTGTCATTGTTTTAGAGCGTTTTGAAGAGGTGTTGCCACAGGAACGAATCACAGAGGAAGAAAATATTTTGCCTCGTTTTCGAACAAATGAGACCGAGAGAGGAGCTGGAGAAAATATCACTTTTAAAAACTCTTTGATATTCCCTTCCCATTGGGTTTCTCAACGAAATCACGTGACTTTCCCCTCAGGTTCTTAAAAAAGTCTAGAAATATACGACGGTTGAAGGTTTCAGAGGTATTTTTCTGTCGGTGCAGTATTCTAGACTCCAGTCTCTCCTGGGTCTTTCAAACTACCCATAATCCAATTCGCGTACAGTAATCAAACATGGCGGACAGATGTCTTGCTCCGTCTGTCAACTATTCAGAAGGTTCAAACGAGGTAATGTAGATCTCATGTGTGCTTTTACCTTAGTCTTGGCATAAATATATATTCTGTATTCCTGCATTCCTTCCCTTGTGTTTAGTGACAATCAGCTGGAATGTATATAACAGAGTATTTTGCTGCTATTTATATCAGCCTCTCCTGGGAAGCTTTGTCTGCTGCACAAAGTTTGCGAAGTAATCTTGGGTTATTTATCCCAATTCTTTGTTTACATGGCTCTGCACACTCTTCAGTTTTTTTCCAATATTGCCATGACTAAATCATGGTCTGGAAAGGAGTCATTCTGACTACACTAACATACATTCAATATGAAATTCGAATAGTTTATTGAGGATGCGTCAGTCAGTCATCTGATATAGATGTATTCCGTCTGACAACATCATCTGTATCCTCGAAATTAAAAATATTGGTTCTAACAATTTGAAACTGTACTATGCCACACCCTTCAGATGTGGCTAAAAACTATGTGGAAACATATTCCTCATCTAATGCAGCGGCACAAGACCCCAAGGAAAGAGTACAAAATCAGTAACGTAAAACATTATTTTAAAACTATACATACAAGCTGTTATAACAAAAGCTTAATAATTTTAAAAAAAGAGGACGAAAATGAAGACTGACTAACCTAGAATGACCTAATTATAAATCTCCTGCCAAATGCCTAAATAGTCCCTAAACGTCCCGTGACACCCTGCAAGCCTCTCCAGCATGCCGTCAGAATAACAACTTCTGACTAATTCGTCCCTCAGTCATCAGAAATTACATTGTCTATAGGTTTTACCGAAAGGAAAAATACTTCTTCAGTGAGTTGAGCAAATTATAAGCTAAATTCTGGTTGCTTCACTGTGTCCTCCATGCACCTATTTAGTATGTAATTATATTATTAGCCCAAAATTTCACATAAGTGCATGCAAGGTAGTTTGTTAAGACATTTAGTAAACTGTCCAAATTAATCCTTATTTTGTATAAGGTCCAAATTAACAGGTAATTTGGAAAGTTTTGTGTGGAACACAATTAACAAGTATATTATTATAACAATATTATTATTATAACAATTATTATAACAATATTATTATAACAGTGTATTATAACAAGTAATAAGACTCTTTGTCCAATTTGGAAATAATTAGATTAAAAATAAATTCCTCTGACAATCTAATTGGACTTGGCCTGTGGATTTTTTTCATCCAATTATTTCCAAATTGGACGGCATGTAGTTCTTTTTACTTAGACTAATTGGCACACTATCACATAGGTGTACAATTTCACCTGTTCAACATTGTTGCCCTCTCCAGGTGCAATAGGGGTATCAAATGGTCATTGTGAGCATTTGCAAGCATGCAAGCAGTGCATTAAATTTTTCAATCATGAGCAGTGATCAAATTTGTTTTGTGAGCAGCAAGCATTTAAGAAAATACAGATGGTGAGCAATGAGCACTTCATAAATTTTCCACAAGCCAGAATCTCTATTTTATTGAAAGGAAACATTGTTTTGCACCAAGTAATCTGGCTGACACCTCCAAAACACGACTGATAGGCGCAAAGCTGCTTACAGCCAATTATGCATTGTTTGATGCCAAAATACGTCACATAGTTTCATGTGAGTCAGTGGGTGGATGCTCAAGGAGATCTTAAGCTTTCTAACCCAACGTTGTGAACACGTCACGAGAAGAAGCTAAAAGCTACTAGACCCCAACCCTAACCCTAAGGATTCACAAAAAGTTCCTGCAAATGAGCACATTTTAACATTTTAATGAGAATGTTAGTGTGCAAGCAGTTGCAAATATTTCTCAAGTGAGAGCAAGCGAGAGCAAGTGAGAACTCATGTAATTTTTGCGAGCAATTTGAGCAAAGGCCAAATTTTGTGAGCAATTTTATATTAAATGGGACCATTCGATATCTGTTGCAATGTGTAACCTGTAACTTGCAGCCTGCAGTTTACACCTTTTGGCCCTGTTACAACTCTTTGTTATTGGGTACCTGTTATTGAACACCTGTGCCAGTCATGGATGGACTCTGTTCACTTAAATGGGTAAATTGGGGGTTTCATTAAGGCCCAGGTACCAGACAAAGTGACTGACTGTGAGGCAGACTTTCCCCTCTTGGTTTGAAAATCTGGAGAAAAGTTTTTTTATATGTGTAAAGAAGTTCAGCTCAAAAGGTTTTGCCGCCTGTGAAAACCAATTGCCTTCCTCCTTAAAATGTGACTGAACCTCCTGTGGGTTCTTTGTTGCTTTTCCATGATTTTAGTAAAACCGATGGGATCATATACCACTGACTTCGTCAAGTGGTTCTCTAAGGATCCTAAACAATGCAATTTGCTACTAATACTATTAACTAGTGAGTGGACCGTGTGTTGTACACCATTTAAGGGGCTATGTCACACAGTTTGAAGTAATTTTAGAGCTGATGAACTGGTCATAAAATTAACTGAAATATCATAACATTATTAACAACTTTCAATGGTAGAAAAATTCAAACGAAACACAGAAAACCCCAAAAGGGGCATGCATGGGCAAATGTAGATTTTTTCAACTTGGCTAACTTGAAAAATTTCATGCCGTCCATTTTTTAAGTTTATATACGCTTATATGAAAGTTCCATAATTTATAATGCCCAGAATCATTCTTGTTTGTTTTGTGGCCACGATTTTACCCATAAGAGACTGTTGCTCTGCCAGTTTGAAGTTTATAGGTCATAACCAACAAACATAAACCAAATTACTAATTCAAGTAGTGTGACCTATCCCCTTTAAAAATTTGAAATTACTCATCTGATTACTCCCTGAACTACTTCGTCCAGCTCTATTGCTAGTCAAATGTCTTTTTTGACAAAGAATCATCAACTATCTAAATTTGCAGATCACTTTGTACAGAGGTAATCAACCAATTCTCAAGGCAGAACATGGAGTTACCCTTGGTCTTTTGAAGCTGATCTATTCTACTGATGACACTTACAGTGGGATTCTACTGGGAGTTAAACCACGGCTATCAAACCAAGAATTGCCAAGATTGGTGACTTCCGACAGTACATCCTTAACTCATGCTGAGTATGATTTAATTGTTCAAGGTAATCTTGATTTTTGTTATTTTCCATATAGAATAAGGCCAAATGTTCGGCTGCAGACACAAACAGTCCGGATTGAACCACAAATGATCTAGAGTGCTGTTTGTCAGTCAGACTTGACTGCATGCAAAGCAGATTTAATATTTGATAACACTGGCTATTTCAAAGGTTCAATATTCAAAAAGAAAAGAAGAAAAATATTAGAAAGTAATATTTAAAATGAAGGTATGTGATCTTTATAGAAAAAGAAAGCATTCCTTAGTACCACTTATCACCTGGAGGCCTCTCCCTTTATTTTTGAGTCAATGGTTGAAAATTATCACCATCACCAGATTCTAACAAATGTTACTGTTCTTTGCATTGTCATGACAGCTGCTGGCAATCCAGAATGCACTCAAAGTGAAGCATCTAAGCAGCAAGCCAGTGCAGTTACCCAAAGACCAGTATCCAAAGAAGGAAATGTCACAGCTTGTGACAGGAGTCTTGCAAGGAATCCTAGGAGACAAATTACAAACATTCAATCTATTTCATCAAGCTTTCAAACGCAAAGACAGGAATCTTTAAATGAATCTGACAAGAGCTTGGGATCCTCTTCAGGTGATCTAAGGGGCGACATGAGCCATGACCAGCTGTCATCATCCAATCTGTCTCCTGGTCCAGCCGTGGAGCCATTTAATCATCGTTGCCCTCTTCCTTCCCAGCAGGAACATGTTTCTTCTAAAAGTTTTTCATATGTGAACTTTGAACAAGTTCACGATCCTCCAGATTCAACTGTTCAAGAGTCTGACATCTCAGGGTTTGTTTTGAATACAGGGACAAGATCGTGTGACACTGTTGATGATGGTGACAAAGTGGATGAGTCAAGTGATAGCCTTGAGCCTGACTGCAAGGATTCTGTAGAAGTGCAGTTCAATCCAGAAGAATTTAATTTTAACATCGGTAAGCTGACTGTGTTATCCTAATAATGATTTTACTGGGTAATGCTGAGAGGTGAACTTTGATTTTCTTCAAGTCTCACTGGCTTACCATGGTTTGCACAGGGCCTTGAAAAGTCCTAGAAAATGAAAAAAAAAAGGTTTTCTCCTATTAAAGTCCTTGAACTGTGTTCAAAATCTTGGAATGCTTAAGACTACAGGATAAAAAAAGTTATTTTATGTGGATATACCAACTGTAAGTCTAGAAAAACCTTCGAAGTCTCAGTAAATTGATTCCGTTGAAGCAGTAGTTAAGTGATTGTGAGTAGTGCCTGACAGCCTAAGTAATCTTGCTTCAATGGAGTCTTGAGTATTCCGTATTTTGTGGACCTCCTATTAAACAAGTTGTACTAGTAATTCTGAGGGAAATGGGGGAAATGATTGCTTGAATAAACACATTAAGTGCTGAATTGTCCTTGAAAAGTCCTTGAATAGTCCTTGAAAGGAAAGGTCTGATCATTGTCCATATAAACCATGTAGTAGCTTGAGGTGACTAGGAGCTAAAAGTTTTCTCCTGGACATGATGCTAGTGTAGCATTGTAGTGGAACATTTTTTCAACATGATTTCATTTTATTCTTTAGAAAGTTGCAAAAACAAGTCACTCATCTACATGTATATGTAAACAACATTGTTCTCTTTTGTAGCCTCAGTCATTCCATTTCAATCTGATAAAGGCAATCGCTGGCCATGTGATCGCTGTGGTAAAGACTTTTGTAGCTCCAGTCATCTAAAGCGACACTGGATTCTCCACACTGACTTCAAGCCTTACAAGTGTAAAGTTTGCAACAAATGCTTTCCTTTTCAATGGGACCTAAAAAAGCACATGACATCACACACTGGTGAAAAACGATTTAAATGCCCCTTGTGTCCAAAGTCATTCAACACACACAAAGAACTCGGAAATCACAACTGGCTTCACACAGGTGGGCTGCTTATAATATTAAATTACAATTCACTGGTATTAGCTTCTAGTTTCTCCTTGAAAACTAGATACCCAGCAAGTAACAGGTCATTGAGAATATCAAATCTGATCATTTAGATCAAATTGTCCTGATCTATCAAATTCTCACAACCACATATAGTGTGTATACTTGAGAGTGGATTAACAAACAGATGACAAGCAAATAACTGACTGGAGTAACAAACGGCAGACTTGAATCTTTGAAGATCCTGGCAAGAATTTACAAGATCCCAAAGATCCCCCACCCTGGAGGTTTGCATGTAGGAATGACAGTTCACTGGGGTAACACAAACTAGACTGTATAGATCTACGCTTGCATACGTAATACAAAACTGACAGAGAGCTTTTTTTCTCTTCAAAAGGAAAGAAGGAACACCAATGCCATGTATGCCATCACGAATTTACGTCACTTGGTAACTTGAAAATTCACATGAGAAAGCACACGGGTGAGTGACATCAAAAGCTATGCCTCTTCTTCAAGTAGTTGTCTAAAACGTAAAGAAAATCCTGCAAGGATTTGCAGTCACGCAACCTGCCCGTGGAAAACCGAATAAACCAATTTCGGATGTTTTTGGACAACTACTTCAACCGGTGGATGAAAAGCCAAGGTTGGCATAGAGTTAATTAAAATATGAACAGTCATTTTTAAGATTTATTTGTAAAATATCAAGAGCCATTTATAACGTATTTATTTCGGTCCACAGATAGCCCTCCACCCAGACGCGTTTAGGGCTCGTCACGCGTTTCTTCATGGGGAAGGAACGCATGACGAACCCCAAGAGCGTCTGGGTGGGAGGCTAGCTGACAGACGGCCGACAGGTTTTTTCGGGAGCTGTTCTTCAAAATTACCCTTACATGTGATGTTTCTTGGCTAATTGTGATGTTGCCATCTTAAATTTACCTCTTTTTTAAGTAAGTTGTTTCCATGTCTGCAACATTTTATAACTCTTAGTCAATGAGTCATACTAGTTTAAGTCTCACAAGCAGCATCTTAAGTCTTACTTATTATTTTAATACTACTGTCAATAAAATATGAAATCTTCTATACTCAAGCCTTAGCTACATCTAGCAACAGGCGAACCGAGGCTCTTGCCTCGGTAACAATTCGATTTTTTTTTTTATTTATTTCAAGTTCCTGTAAAAGACAGTGCATTAAAACGATAAATCAATGTAAAAGAAGCGTTTTTATCCGCTGTTGATTGCGGTCTCGATAAGAACTTTAGTCTGCCTACGGTCGTGGTGCTTTTTTTTTTCCATTACTAGTTGATTAAGTCGTTAAGCTAAACTGTCACTCTGTACTTCGGTGTTTAATTTTCGTTTCTGGTTTACTGGCAGGCGAGAAGCCGTATAAATGTGAATACTGCCCCAAGTCATTTCACATGCTGGGTCACTATCAATACCATGTGCGCCATCACACGGGAGAGAAGCCATATGAGTGTAATACATGTGGCAAGGCATTCAGTTACTCCCACAACCTGAATGAACACAAGAACGTACACACTGGCTACAGACCATACAGGTAACTGCTCGGCCCTTCAGTGTCATTGGTTAGAATATTTTCCTTTTTCCCTTCAATATTGAGATAATAAAACGAAAGACCGTCTGTAACCACGTTTCCAAACACCGACAAGAAAGCTGAAAATACGACGCGCAGCGGAGTATTTTTGACAAACTTCGAAGTGTTTGGAAATGGTGCATCACTCTCTCGTGTGTTTGATATATCTTCTCGATCGAACCTAGAACTAACGAGAGAAGGAAAAAAATTTGGGCTCATCATTCCTTTGTTTTATAAACTTGATGAATTGTTAATGACTTTAAGGAGGGAAAGTGAAAGTCGGATATGTTAGGATATTCACGTCTTCCTTTCTAGAGGTAAGTACCTCAGCTTAGTGTGTCTCGAATTGTAGGTTACAGGTCAAGAGCTTGCAGGTGGTTTTCGATGTTGTGAACCATGCATGTGTCAAACGCGGAGAGAGAGAGAGGGAGAGTTCCTTATTCTGTTTTTATGGCCGCGTCCAGAATACGCCGGAGCAATTTGAAAACGGAGGTTTCACTATATCACTCTGAAAGCGCATCAAATGTTTTCTGTCCACACTACGTTGAAGAAATTTGTAACAATCAGCAGTCATTTTGGATTTGTGTTTGAGTAAAACGGGGCATTTCATGATTACCGTAACCTCGTCGTTTTCGAAAAGCCTCGTTTTCAAAGTGTTTTCTGTCCACACTAAAACTGAAAGCCGGCGTTTTCAAATTCCTCCGGTTTGAAGAGCCTTTGAAGAGCTCCGTTTTCGTGACGGATTAGTGCGGACGGAAGGTCTGTCCGGCGAAAGAAAGCTCCGTTTTCAATTTCCTCCGGAAGAGTGCGGACGTTGCCTTAGCTGATTGCAGTATTTGTTCGCTTGAACGCTAAGAGAAAGGGGTTTAACTGGAAAGATGACTGCGTGTTCGACTGTGCAAGTACTTTCGCGAGGTTAACTCATTCCTTTTCTTCCCCCATACAATGTAGTTGTTCTCAGTGCGAGAAGAAATTCACTCACCGCTCAACCTTCAAACAGCATTTGCTAATGCACTTGGGAAGTAAACCCTACAAGTGTCACGTGTGTTCCAAGTCATTCGTGCAGAGCTCCAATTACCGCAGACACATTCTCACTCACAAGAACAAGGAAGAAAGAATGCAGAAATGCGACTTGTGCGGCAAAGAGCTTCTGTCGAGACGTGGCATCCAGAAGCATCGCTTACGATGCGTGAAAATGACGGTGGAGCGAGCGAACACTAACGAACCGATACCAAAGAACACCCGGCTAAAACGAGGCCAATATCATTGTCAACACTGCCCCAGGATCTTCTCCTACAATCGAAGATTAGAAGTGCATATTATGAAGAAGCATTCGCCGTCCGTTAAAGACACTGCGCTAAAGCCGAAAGAGCTGCTGCAGGTTGACCCTTCGGCTAAGGCGAACGTTACCGAAAAGTCATCGACTTCTCGGAATAAACCTCGGCGTGTACTTGGCATTCAGTGTTCCGTTTGCGGCAGGCGGTTTGGTTATACAAAGCGACTCAGAGAGCATCAAGCTATGGTGCACCATCGTGCTGCAGTTCAGGGGAGTGCCTCTTCGACTGGTACGTTCTGTATTTTCTAGGTAGAAGGTGTAGATACTCTTTTGGGTAGGAAAACTGAAACAGGAATATTGGTCTTATACTCTCTAGTGCTGCTTTAAGAAGAACCGTTTATATTCAATTACTTTTAAAAGACTGCTCAAGTTTGAGTTTTGAGAACACCTCTCCTGAGTAGAAGCAACAACAGCAGAGTCCCAAACGACCTGATTAGGCAAGCCCCCGTTGCTGGAGACCCTAGTTACCAGTGAAGCAGTTCATTTCGACCCAATTTATACACGTGTGGACTGCAAACAGACGCTCTCTTTCCCGACATATTTTTAAATAAGTTAAGGTAAATGTCACATGTGAATCCGAGTGTAATTAGGAACGATTTACGCTACGTGGAAGAAGTGAAAAAATGAAATTGTCTCAAAATTGCATGAGCCTTTAGGCGAGTGAGTTTGAAAGAACCATGAAATATCACGAGCAGTGTAAATCCTTAACTGATCGAGCGTTCATTCCACTACTCTTTAATTATACGACTGAAAAAGCTACGAATGTGTCTACATCAATTTACACTGCAGTGCAGATTAAAAATTAACGATAAATTTGCCTGCTCTCGGCCAATCGCAATGTAGCAATTTTCTCAGTCATAATAAACAGTGATACGACGAGCTCGGCCGGGTTGTTCGAAACGCTAACCCAGGATTCAAAGTTAACAGAAGTATTAATTTTTCGTAAATAAAAATGTTTTTCACGGTGTATGTTTTGTGTAGCTTGAGATTATTCAAACTCTAAACTGACAGACAGACAATATAAACAGAAAATCTCACCGAAAAGTTACAAAACTGAAATGAAATCGAAATTATCGCTACTCCTGGGTTAGCTTAATCGAGCTTTGAACAACCCGGCCCACAGGGCTTTTCCTCGGCTAACTTGTTTGTAGTAAAAGTAAACTAACCGTTCCGCTCTTATAATTTTTGTTTTCCATTCTTTCCTATGTAGTTGCAGAGATAGGCGCCTCGAACATGAACACGTCTGGAAAGTATGTCTTCATTATACCAAAGCCAGGTGATGGAGATAACGGTCTGCCTCCTCTGCCTGCTGTAAACCGCTTAACAGGATCTCCCGCGATTACTGTCCCGAGAGGAACTCCATCGAACTCGCAGCCTGGTAGTCACCAAACAGCTAACAGATTCCTGCAGCCGGATGAGAAAGAGAAACAAGAAGCTGGAGAGACTGGGTTCGAAGCGCTCTCTGCTCTCGGACGGCTTTCTGCTAAGATTGGAATAGAGGAAAGTCTCTTTAACCAGTCCCTCTCGGCTCCAGGAATGCCTCCTTGGTGGCGAATGTGATTGGAAATCACGTGATTATAACAGGTCCTCATAAAACAGTGAGCCTCGTCCCAGAGCCACGTGAGGTGTCAACCGAAGGATTTAAATCATAAGAGAAATCGATGCATCCTTGTCTCTTTCATGGCCCTTATTCGGAGTTAAAACGTAATTCTCCCAAAGGGAGAGGGAAAAATTGAGCCATAAAATTACTATAATTTTGATACTGATGAAAATACTAAAATATAACTTACTATTAATATCACACATTTTCCATTGTAAAGACAGTGCAACTACTAATAGATTGACCACAAAAACCTAAAAATATCTGATACGCAGGTCAGTGAGGATATTACCAGTTTTGCTTTTGCCACCAACCACTCTGCCTCAAAGATATATTGATAGATAATGACAAAACCAACCTCTGTCAATTCAATAAACACACCAAAATTCTCTTCAACACCTTACAGTAAATGTCAACTGCCATGATAAATTCAACTTAAGGGTCAACTCGATCCTACTATCATCAAAGTTTTACCCTTGATTCAGAATTTTTAGGAGTATCACATAGAATTCCACAAAAGATTAAAAATGCTGTTTACGTTTTGCAAATCAAAGAACAAGCGAAGCAGAACTTCACGAACACCGATTACGCATTCAAACTCTACAACCAAACACACCCAGACAAGCCAGGACACCTCCAAAAGAACCCAAATTGATTTTTATCAACCCAGTGAGCAGCAGAAACAGAGCGAGTCGCTTTTTGTGGGCGGCAGCGCACTCCTTCTTAGCTATGCAACTTTTCGTTTTCTTTGAACTTTTTGGAGTGTTACTATACCTTCCTCAAATGGACTCCAAGCTCACAAAAATCTACAACAGTCCCAAGGGCTACTGGAAAGGCATCGCTGCTATTAAAAAATTAGCAGAAGCTGCAAAAGTCTCAGAGGAAACTACCAAGCAATGGTTAATCAAACAGGCTCTGGCAGACGTCGTGCTACATACATTCCTCGCCCTAAAATTCGACGTATCGTCAACCAAACCGGTCCACCAAGCGGACCTTCTTTTTCTGCCACATGACAAGCTGCCTCGTGGCCGCAAAGTTTACAAATACGCGCNAAAATTCGACGTATCGTCAACCAAACCGGTCCACCAAGCGGACCTTCTTTTTCTGCCACATGACAAGCTGCCTCGTGGCCGCAAAGTTTACAAATACGCGCTGACCGTTGTCGGCATGGCCAGCCGCTACAAAGAAGCTGATCCTCCGACCTCTAAAGATACTGCTGAAGTTGCGAAAGCTTTTGAGTCGATTTACAAGCGAAGCCCTTTGAAGTAGCCTCAGCTGCTGCAGGTCGACCCTGGGCGTGAGTTCATGGGAAGTGTGACCAAAGAGATGGAAAACCACAATACCACCATTCGTCGTGGGCGCACTGAAATTCACAGAGACCAAGCTATTGTTGATCGTTTCAACTGCACACTGGCCGAGCGCTTGTTCGGTCACCAGTATGCCGTGGAAATGCCCCTGCCTTCTGCCCAGCGGTCGACTGCGTGGGTCAAAAGGCTTCCCGAAGTTGTCAGCGCTCTGAAAAATGAGGTGACCAGTCTTGTCGAAAAAAAAAAAAGCTGTCGCAATCAAAGAGAGGCTGTCACCTCCAAACCCTCTACAAAGTATTCCAGACCTGTTGGATTGAAAGAAAAAAAGGTCCCCGTCGCATAATGTAAGCTATTTGTATCAACCCGGTGAACTTGAAGGCGGGACTAAAAGAGCTACAGACCCAATCTGGTCTTTGAAAGTCTACAATCTTGAATGAGCTGTAACTAAACCGAACGAGCCTGTTTTCTATTATTTGTTTGACGGGCTTAAGCGCGGCTTTGTTGGTTGTGCAGCCAAATACACAGCTTCCGCCTGCTAATGCCGTTCTTTGATATCTTTGTGCCCGTATGTCACTGTGTGCACGCCGTCATCCGCTATCCAACGCTTAGTTGTATCAAAGGGTGAAAGTGAAACCTTATTCCCATGCATGCCATATATCTCGTGGCCCTCGCTGAGAAGAATGTTCATTCCATGCCACAATTACTTTTTCGCGAAAAGCGCTCCTTGTAGTGCTCGTGCCTAACTTCTTTTCCCACCACATTCTTTTTTACCTCCTTGGCTTTCCTGATATATTTTTGTTCCACCACATTCTTTTTTACCCCCTTGACTATCCTGATATTTTTTTTGTTTTTCTTCCAAGACTGAATACATTTTTTACCTATAGCAAGTGCTTCGTTAATCGTCCTTCCTCGCACTCGTCTTTTATCTTGTCCTGAACCTTTTTATTTCTGTCACTGTAAAGCAATTGTTCTTTTGGATAGGTGCTTGTGTCATGCAAAGCAATGTCTTCCACTATATCTTTGTAAACGTCTTCCGTCTGGCTATCTAAGAGAAGACTGTCTGTGTCTGTACTTCGACCCGTACTTAGTTTTCAAGTAATTATAGAGCATGTCGATCATACATCAAGATCTAGAATTGTCATACCTGTGTTAACAGGCTTGTTCAGGAGGAGCAAATGATCATGAAGGGCTGGCCACCAAACGACGTATCTTGTCTGTCTCCCAGCTTCAAAAAATCTTCACATTGACACGGTTTCTCAAGTTCTCCATGTTGCCGAACACTGAGTTGTTCATCAGTTTGTAAAAGTTACTCTGGAAATCGCTTTTTGCTTTCTTTCTTAATTCAGTGTTCGTCCGAATGTATGGCTCCATCCATGGCCAGCGTTCTTGTTCAAACTCGATCGCTCTGTGCATTTTTTTCAAACGTATCCCTTGTTTTAGATGAAACTGCAGGTTCCTGTAGTGTACGACGTAATTTTTTTGTCCTCCAGCGTCAGCACCAGCGTCTCGCTGTTCGGCCGGTCCAATTTCAAGTCCTCCATCAAACGCATTTGGTAAACTGACATCAACTCCTTTTCAATGACGTTTTTCTCGCTCGCAAGTGGGTCAACTGTTGTGTTCTTCGTGCAGTCTTCAGAGTACTCCAGGTCCACCTCTAGTATCCACCCCTCCTTTGAATTTTCGTTCATTTTCATTATTTGTTCTTCTGTGGGCATGACACGCTTCCACTTGAAACCGCGTTTTGGCAGTGGCAAGCTCATAGCCAAGCCGTAAAGGTTGTTCGCATCTAGGTAAATTATATAATTTCTTGGTTTGCCCGGGTCATATCCTTCAGCCAG